CTAATCTATAGTCTAGTCTATAATCTAGTCTATAGTCTAGTCTATAGTCTAGTCTATAGTCTAGTCTATAGTCTAGTCTATAGTCTAGTCTATAGTCTAGTCTATAGTCTAGTCTATAGTCTAGTCTATAGTCTAGTCTATAGTCTAGTCTAGTCTATAGTCTAGTCTATAGTCTAGTCTATAGTCTAGTCTATAGTCTAGTCTATAGTCTAGTCTATAGTCTAGTCTATAGTCTAGTCTATAGTCTATAGAATAGTCTATAGCCTAGTCTATAGTCTAGTCTATAGTATAGTCTATAGCCTAGTCTATAGTATAGTCTATAGCCTAGTCTATAGTCTAGTCTATAGCCTAGTCTATAGTCTAGTCTATATTCTAGTCTATAGTCTAGTCTATAGTCTAGTCTATAGTCTAGTCTATAGCCTAGTCTATAGTCTAGTCTATAGTCTAGTCTATAGTCTAGTCTATAGTCTAGTCTATAGTCTAGTCTATAGTCTAGTCTATAGTCCAGTCTATAGTCTAGTCTATCGTCTAGTCTATAGTCTATTCTATAGTATAGTCTATAGCCTAGTCTATAGTCTAGTCTATAGTCTAGTCTATAGTATACTCTATAGTCTAGTCTATAGTCTAGTCTATAGTCTAGTCTATAGTCTAGTCTATAGTCTACTCTATAGTCTAGTCTATAGTCTAGTCTATAGTCTAGTCTATAGTCTAGTCTATAGTCTAGTCTATAGTCTAGTCTACAGTCTAGTCTATAGTCTAGTCTATAGTCTAGTCTATAGTCTAGTCTATAGTCTAGTCTATAGTCTAGTCTATAGTCTAGTCTATAGTCTAGTCTATAGTCTAGTCTATAGTCTAGTCTATAGTCTAGTCTATAGTCTAGTCTATAGTCTAGTCTATAGTCTAGTCTATAGTCTAGTCTATAGTCTAGTTAGTCTATAGTCTAGTCTATAGTCTAGTCTGTCTATAGTCTAGTCTATAGTCTAGTCTATAGCCTAGTCTATAGTCTAGTCTATAGTCTAGTCTAGTCTAGTCTAGTCTAGTCTAGTCTAGTCTAGTCTAGTCTAGTCTAGTCTAGTCTAGTCTAGTCTAGTCTAGTCTAGTCTAGTCTAGTCTAGTCTAGTCTAGTCTAGTCTAGTCTAGTCTAGTCTAGTCTAGTCTAGTCTAGTCTAGTCTAGTCTAGTCAGTCTAGTCTAGTCTAGTCTAGTCTAGTCTAGTCTATAGTCTAGTCTAGTCTATAGTCTAGTCCGAGGTCTATAGTCTAGTCTATAGTCCTAGTCTATAGTCTAGTCTATAGTCTAGTCCTATAGTCTAGTCTATAGTCTAGTCTATAGTCTAGTCTATAGTCTAGTCTATAGTCTAGTCTATAGTCTAGTCTTATAGTGTAGTCTATAGGCTAGTCTATAGTCTAGTCTATAGTCTAGTCTATAGTCTAGTCTATAGTCTAGTCTATAGTCTAGTCTATAGTCTAGTCTATAGTCTAGTCTATAGTCTAGTCTATAGTCTAGTCTATAGCTAGTCTATAGTCTAGTCTATAGTCTAGTCTATAGTCTAGTCTATAGTCTAGTCTATAGTCTAGTCTATAGTCTAGTCTAGTCTAGTCTATAGTCTAGTCTATAGTCTAGTCTATAGTCTAGTCTATAGTCTAGTCTATAGTCTAGTCTATAGTCTAGTCTATAGTCTAGGTCTATAGTCTAGTCTATAGTCTAGTCTATAGTCTAGTCTATAGTCTAGTCTATAGTCTAGTCTATAGTCTAGTCTATAGTCTAGTCTATAGTCTAGTCTATAGTCTAGTCTATAGTCTAGTCTATAGTCTAGTCTATAGTCTAGTCTATGTCTAGTCTATAGTCTAGTCTATAGTCTAGTCTATAGTCTAGTCTATAGTCTAGTCTAATAGTCTAGTCTATAGTCTAGTCTATAGTCTAGTCTATAGTCTAGTCTATAGTCTAGTCTATAGTCTAGTCTATAGTCTGTCTATAGTCTAGTCTATAGTCTTGTCTATAGTCTAGTCTATAGTCTAGTCTATAGTCTAGTCTATAGTCTTGTCTATAGTCTAGTCTATAGTCTAGTCTATAGTCTAGTCTATAGTCTAGTCTATAGTCTATTCTATAGTCTAGGCTATGGCGTGGTCCAATTGAAGTCTTTATTCTTGTATATCTATATATATATTATATATATATATATATATATATATATCTATACCAGATCATATTCTATTCCATATTCAAGTCTATTATATATACATATAACCTTATCTGTATATGCATGATGTAATCTATTCCATGGGATATTCTATAACAATAGTCCAGTCAATAGTCTGGTCTGAAAGATCAGCTAGAATCCAATCCCTTCAAGGGTTTGTAGAATAATTACAAATGTTTGAGTTATCACCTTTGCAAATAGATTTAATTTTTCTTAACAAAACTATTTTCATTTGACACCGTGTTGCAAAAAAAAAAAAAATTGTATATAACTCCTTGAGAACTAATTTAATGAACTTTTTCCTCAAAAGAAAACAAATTGATATTCTGTACTCTACATTCCTTTTGCACCTTCAAACTCACGTATGTCCTGGTTCATTTTTTTTGGGTGCACAAAAACAAACTTTTTGTACAATTTTTCCATTGTTTTTTTTTTTGGGTTCTTTTCAGAGACTACGTGATATGAAAAAGTAAAATAATATACTATTTCATAAAATGCATTAGAAAAGAAGTGGATGTGGCGTGTTATGTTAGATATATTACTTTGTTAAGACAATTTGTTACATAAGGGAACAAATTATTAATTAAAAGAAATAGACTCGACGTTACACAAAGAGGAAAGCTAATCATTTAAAAGATAATTCATTTCCTTTATTGATTTTTTTAATTTACAGGCAGCTGACTGTAAAGTTATTTTGGCTTTTCAAGTAGTTCTTCTAACGGCCGTTAGTGCTGCCCTTAACGTTTATATCCGTTCCGTTTCGTTGGTTGGTTTATTTTGAAGCTAAACTTTACTTTATAAAGCAGAATCTAGTGTATTTTATACCCAACTAGACTATAGACTAGACTATAGACTAGACTAGACTAGACTATAGACTAGACTATAGACTAGACTATAGACTAGACTATAGACTAGACTAGAGACTAGACTATAGACTAGACTATAGACTAGACTATAGACTAGAATATAGAATAGACTAGACTATAGACTAGACTATAGACTAGACTATAGACTAGACTATAGACTAGACTATAGACTAGACTATAGACTAGACTATAGACTAGACTATAGACTAGACTATAGACTAGACTATAGACTAGACTATAGACTAGACTATAGACTAGACTATAGACTAGACTATAGACTAGACTATAGACTAGACTATAGACTAGACTATAGACTAGACTATAGACTAGACTATAGACTAGACTATAGACTAGACTATAGACTAGACTATAGACTAGACTAGACTAGACTATAGACTAGACTATAGACTAGACTATAGACTAGACTATAGACTAGACTATAGACTAGACTATAGACTAGACTATAGACTAGACTATAGACTAGACTATAGACTAGACTATAGACTAGACTATAGACTAGACTATAGACTAGACTATAGACTAGACTATAGGCTAGACTATAGACTAGACTATAGACTAGACTATAGACTAGACTAGACTATAGACTAGACTATAGACTAGACTATAGACTAGACTATAGACTAGACTATAGACTAGACTATAGACTAGACTATAGACTAGACTATAGACTAGACTAGACTATAGACTAGACTAGACTAGACTATAGACTAGACTATAGACTAGACTATAGACTAGACTATAGACTAGACTATAGACTAGACTATAGACTAGACTATAGACTAGACTATAGACTATAGACTAGACTATAGACTAGACTATAGACTAGACTATAGACTACTATAGACTAGACTATAGACTAGACTATAGACTAGACTATAGACTAGACTATAGACTAGACTATAGACTAGACTATAGACTAGACTATAGACTAGACTATAGACTAGACTATAGACTAGACTATAGACTAGACTATAGACTAGACTATAGACTAGACTATAGACTGACTATAGACTAGACTATAGACTAGACTATAGACTAGAATATAGACTAGACTATAGACTAGACTATAGACTAGACTATAGACTAGACTATAGACTAGACTATAGACTAGACTATAGACTAGACTATAGACTAGACTATAGACTAGACTATAGACTAGACTATAGACTAGACTATAGACTAGACTATAGACGAGACTATAGACTAAGACTATAGACTAGAATATAGACTAGACTATAGACTAGACTATAGACTAGACTATAGACTAGACTATAGACTAGACTAGACTAGACTATAGACTAGACTATAGACTAGAATATAGACTAGACTATAGACTAGACTATAGACTAGACTATAGACTAGACTATAGACTAGACTATAGACTAGACTATAGACTAGACTATAGACTAGACTATAGACTAGACTATAGACTAGACTATAGACTAGACTATAGACTAGACTATAGACTAGACTATAGACTAGACTATAGACTAGACTATAGACTAGACTATAGACTAGACTATAGACTAGACTATAGACTAGACTATAGACTAGACTATAGACTAGACTATAGACTAGACTATAGACTAGACTATAGACTAGACTATAGACTAGACTATAGACTAGACTATAACTAGACTATACTAGACTATAGACTAGACTATAGACTAGACTATAGACTAGACTATAGACTAGACTATAGACTAGACTATAGACTAGACTATAGACTAGACTATAGACTAGACTATAGACTAGACTATAGACTAGACTATAGACTAGACTATAGACTAGACTATAGACTTGACTATAGACTAGACTATAGACTTGACTATAGACTAAGAACTGAACTATAGTTTATCATAGATTGTCGTTTAAAATTCCCTCTTTTAATAAAAATTCATTTTGAACAATTTTTTTTTTCTATTTTAAAAATTTATTTCTAATACTTTTTCATTCAACAACATTTAAATTTTAACAACGAGACATGAAATTCTCTTTCTTGAACTTAAGCACGGTGCTTGTAGACAACGCGACGAACGGTCTTGTAACGGTAACCGTCTTCAGCGACAGATTCTACGTGAGATTCAGCAGCTGGAGGAATATAAGTGTTTTCAGGGACTACGGGAGCTGGGGCAGCTGGAGGAATGTAGGTGTTTTGGGGTTGTTCAACGGGAGCAGGTGGTGGTGGGGGAATGTAAGTGTTTTGGGGTTGTTCTACTGGAGCTGGTGGTGGTGGGGGAATGTAGGATTTTTGAGGAGCTGCAGGGGCAGGTTGAGGATAGTTTGTAACCCAATTCGGAGACATCAGCGTAGACGCAAGCTACCAAGCCAAAGCAATAAGAACGAATTTCTAAAAAACGAATTTTTAAATTAGTATTTATTTTTAATTAAAATTTAATTTATTTTTAATATGTACCATTTGAAGTTAAAGTTTTTTCTGGAGGAAAATGTGTTTATTGATTGAAATTTGTTTGGGTTTTGATACTTTATCGTTGAAATTAGTGAGTTTTATATAATTTGTTAGACTTAGTTTTCATTTATAACGCTTCAGTTGATAACTGAATAATGACCTCAAAACTTGTTTTTATTAATTGTGCCCCGATAGATCATTTATCTATTTTTTCAGCTACGGCTTCTTCAGCTTAATTTCCATAAAGTTTAAAAATTATTGAGGAGTTTGTGTTAGTATTGTTATTATTGCTGTTGCTTTTTATTGGCGGCCTTTTAATGATGCTGCTTTTAAAGAGACACTTTCAAATATATTTAAAACAACTTCCGTTTTTTTATTCTATTTTAGTTTATTTTCTTAACATGTTTCTTCTTTCGCTACGCTTGCCGTTTGTTTGGGTGTGAGATAATTAATTATTTTTTGGTCTCTATTGATTATTTCGTATTTGTTAAATAAATCTTCAGAGGCTTTACAGCAAGGTTGGCAACCGTTATCGCTAAGCTATCGTTACCGCTAAAATACCTTTCAGCACAACTACCGTTACCGCTAAAATACCGATACCGAAATAAGCCAAAATACCGATAACGCTAAAATATCAATACCGAAATAAGTTAAAATACCGATAACGCTAAAATACCAATACCGAAATAAGTCAAATACCGATAACGCTAAAATAGCAATACCGAAATAAGCCACAATAACCGATAACGCTAAAATACCAATACCGAAATAAGTCAAAATACCGATACCGCTACCTCATCACCGTTTCGAAACGGTAGCCAACCTTGCTTTACAGTGTTGAGGCCTAAGAGAACTACCGGTTTTATTTTAATAAAGTCATCGACAATAATTATACTATAGGCCAGACTATTGACTAGAATATTGAATGGAGTATCGACTGACCTACGGAGTAGACATGACTAGAGATTATATTATAGACTAGACTATAGACTAGACTGTAGACTAGACTATATAATAGATTATATACTGAACTATAGACTAGACTATAGAATAGTCAACAGACTAGACTATAGACTAGACTATAGAATAGACAATAGACTAGACTATAGACTAGACTATAGACTAGACTATAGACGAGACTATAGACTAGACTATAGACTAGACTATAGACTAGACTAGACTATAGACTGGACTAGACTACAGACTAGACTATAGACTAGACTATAGACTAGACTATAGACTAGACTATAGACTAGACTATAGACTGGACTAGACTATAGACTGGACTAGACTATAGACTGGACTATAGACTGGACTATAGACTAGACTATAGACTAGCTATAGACTAGACTATAGACTAGACTATAGACTAGACTATAGACTAGACTATAGACTAGACTATAGACTAGACTATAGACTAGACTATAGACTAGACTATAGACTAGACTATAGACTAGACTATAGACTAGACTATAGACTAGACTATAGACTAGACTATAGACTAGACTATAGACTAGACTATAGACTAGACTATAGACTAGACTATAGACTAGACTATAGACTAGACTATAGACTAGACTATAGACTAGACTATAGACTAGACTATAGACTAGACTATAGACTATATAGACTAGACTGTAGACTAGACTATAGACTAGACTATAAACTTGACTATAGACTAGACTATGGACTAGACTGTAGACTAGACTGTAGACTAGACTATAGACTGGACTATAGACTAGACTATAGACTGGACTATAGACTAGACTATAGACTAGGCTATATACTAGACTATAGACTAGACTATGGACTAGACTGTAGACTAGACTATAGACTAGACTATAGACTAGACTATAGACTAGACTATAGACTAGACTATAGACTAGACTATAGACAAGACTATAGACTAGACTATAGACTAGACTATAGACTAGACTATAGACTAGACTATAGACTAGAATATAGACTAGACTATAGACTAGACTATAGACTAGACTATAGACTAGACTATAGACTAGACTATAGACTAGACTATAGACTAGACTATAGACTAGACTATAGACTAGACTATACTAGACTATAGACTAGACTATAGACTAGACTATAGACTAGACTATAGACTAGACTATAGACTAGACTATAGACTAGACTATAGACTAGACTATAGACTAGACTATAGACTAGACTATAGACTAGACTATAGACTAGACTATAGACTAGACTATAGACTAGACTATAGACTAGACTATAGACTAGACTATAGACTAGACTATAGACTAGACAATAGACTAGACTATAGACTAGACTATAGACTAGACTATAGACTAGACTATAGACTAGACTATAGACTAGACTATAGACTAGACTATAGACTAGACTATAGACTAGACTATAGACTAGACTATAGACTAGACTATAGACTAGACTATAGACTAGACTATAGACTAGACTATAGACTAGACTATAGACTAGACTATAGACCAGACTATAGACTAGACTATAGACTAGACTATAGACTAGACTATAGACTAGACTATAGACTAGACTATAGACTAGACTATAGACTAGACTATAGACTAGACTATAGACTAGACTATAGACTAGACTATAGACTAGACTATAGACTAGACTATAGACTAGACTATAGACTAGACTATAGACTAGATTATAGACTAGACTATAGTTTAGACTATAGACTAGACTATAGACTAGACTATAGACTAGACTATAGACTAGACTATAGACTAGACTATAGACTAGACTATAGACTAGACTATAGACTAGACTATAGACTAGACTATAGACTAGACTATAGACTAGACTATAGACTAGACTATAGACTAGACTATAGACAAGACATAGACTAGACTATAGACTAGACTATAGACTAGACTATAGACTAGACTATAGACTAGAATATAGACTAGACTATAGACTAGACTATAGACTAGACTATAGACTAGACTATAGACTAGACTATAGACTAGACTATAGACTAGACTAAAGACTAGACTAAAGACTAGACTATAGACTAGACTATAGACTAGACTATAGACTAGACTAAAGACTAGACTATAGACTAGACTATAGACTAGACTATAGACTAGACTATAGACTAGACTATAGACTAGACTATAGACTAGACTATAGACTAGACTATAGACTAGACTATAGACTAGACTATAGACTAGACTATAGACTAGACTATAGACTAGACTATAGACTAGACTATAGACTAGACTATAGACTAGACTATAGACTAGACTATAGACTAGACTATAGACTAGACTATAGACTAGACTATAGACTAGACTATAGACTAGACTATAGACTAGAGTATAGACTAGACTATAGACTAGACTATAGACTAGACTATAGACTACTAGAGACTAGACTTACTATAGACTAGACTATAGACTAGACTATAGACTAGACTATAGACTAGACAATAGACTAGACTATAGACTAGACTATAGACTAGACTATAGACTAGACTATAGACTAGACTATAGACTAGACTATAGACTAGACTATAGACTAGACTATAGACTAGACTATAGACTAGACTATAGACTAGACTATAGACTAGACTATAAACTTGACTATAGACTAGACTATATACTAGACGTAGACTAGACTGTAGACTAGACTATAGACTGGACTATAGACCTAGACTATAGACTGGACTATAGACTAGACTATAGACTAGACTATAGACTAGAATACATATACAATACCATAGACTAGATTATAGACAAAACCATAGACTAGGACTATAGACTAAAAGACTATACCTAAACTATAGACTAGACTAGACTATAGTCTAGTCTAAAGTTAAGTGTATTGTCTAGTCTGTCTAAAATTTAGTATATAGTCTAGTCTATAGTGTAGTCTATAGTCTTGTCTTTAGTCTTGTCTATAGTTTAGTCTCTAGTCTTTAGTCTAGTCTTTAGTCTAGTCTTTAGTCTAGTCTTTAATCTATTCTTATTCCTTTTGCTTTCAACTTTTTAAAGCCAAAAGTATTTAACACCTTAAAAATTATTTCTTTGAATACTTCCAAATCTAAATATTGTTAATATCAATAGCTAATCCCCTAGCAAATCTATAGGAAAACCTCATCAAGGTTTTGTTTGGTAAATATTTAAATTTCTCTCCCAATCAACAGTAACGGTAGCAATTGATTAAATTTAAACAAAGACCCACCAAAAAGAAGTGGCAAAAAACAAAATTAAAAACTTTCCCTTTTAAATCTTAATTTTCTTGTTATCACTGGTGGTTGTTGCTGCTTTTGTTATTGCTACTGTTGTAGTTGTTGTTGTATTTGTATATTGTATCTATGATAGGAATTGTTTTCACCTGATTACTTTGTGAAAATGAAAAGGAAAAAACTTATTTACATTAAATCTATTTGGAAATAATTTTCATTTTCATCTTTGGCTGAGATTTAAAATGAAATTTTTATGTTTATTAAAAAGTTTTCATTTTACCAGGTTTGTTCCTTGTGCCTTTCTTTATTTATTTGTTTATTTGTGTTGTCTGTCTTGGCAACATTTTCAATGACTCGAATTTTTATAGCCCTGGATTTTCACTTGAAATTATACACGCAGGTAAACAAGCTGTTGGTATAATGTGGAATGGTGGCAAGAAGTATTTTTGGAAGATTTTCATATTTTAATTTCATTTCAAATGGAACCCTTGAGAATTATAAACAATAACAGCAATAACAACAACGAAAGTAGCAGTTAAAAATAAACAAAAGAAAATGAATTTGTTTAAAGGCAACAAACAAAATAATTTAGGATTAACTTATTTGCTGTTCCGCAGTAAACTATAAAACATCGAAATTAATGGTTGATTTTGCAAATAAATGTAAGTAAAAGATCTAAGAGATTAACTTATATAGTCTAGTCTATAGTCTAGTCTATCTCTATCTATAGTCT